CTAACTTCCCAACTACTGGAATTCAGTAGAGAGAGGGACAGGCTAACAAATACTACAAGGTATTTTCTTAGACCAATACAAAAAAGGGAATGCTCCAGATTAAGAAATTAACAACCAAGTGAGTGTTCCTGGACTGGATCATGGTTTGGACAAATCAGCTGTAAAGGATACTATATGACAATTAGTGAAAAGTGAACATGGACCTGTGTGGTAGACAGCCACAAATTACTTGTAGTTTCCTCATCAGGAAGTGAAGTCTTTGGAAGGATGTGGAGAAAAGGGAACCCTCGTGTGCTGTTGGTGGGAATGCAAACTGATGCAGCCACTGTAGAAGACAGTATGGAGGTTCCTCAAAAATTGAAAATAGAGGGCGCCTGAATGGCTCAGTCATTAAGCGTCTGCCTGCGGCTCAGGTCATGATCCCAGGGTCCTGGGATCGAGCCCCACATCAGGCTCCCTGCTTGGCAGGAAGCCTGCTCTCCCTCTCCCACTCCCCCTGCTTGTGTTCCCTCTCTCGCTTTCAAATAAATAAATAAAATCTTTAAAAAAAAAATGAAAATAGAGGGGCGTGTGGTGGGCTCATTCAGTTCAGCATGCAGCTCTTGATCTTGGGGTTGTGAGTTTGGGCCCCACGTTGAGTGCAGAGCTAACTTAAAAATAAAATCTTTAAAACAAATCAAAAATAGAAGTACCACATGATCCAACAACGCTACTTCTGGGTATTTACCTGAAGAAAACGGAAACACTGACTCAAGAAGATACATGCACCCCCATGTTCACTGCAGCATTATTTACAACAGCCAAGATATAGAAACAACCTAAGTATCCATCAACAATGAATGGATAAAGAAAATGTGGTATGTATGTACACAATGGAGTATTATTCAGTCATAAAAAAGAATGAAATCCTGTCATTTGTGACAACATGGATGGACCCTGAGGGCATTACACTAAGTGAAATAAATGAGACAAAGACGAATATCATATGATCTTACTTATATGTGGAATCTCTAAAAAGAAACAAACAAACAAACCAAGCTAATAAGTATAGAGAACAGTTAGGTGGTTGGCCAGAGACAAGAGGTGGGGGGAGGGAGGCAACATGGGTGAAGGGAGTCAAAAGGTACAAACTTTCAGTTGTAAGATAAGTAAGTCAGAAAAAAAATAAGTATGTCATGAAGATGTAATGTACAGCATGACAACTATAATTAATAACACTGTATTGCATATGTGAAACTAAGAGGTTAAATCTTCAAAGTTCTCATCACAACAACAAAATTCTGCAACTATGTGTGATGAGGGACATTAATTGGATTTACTTAGGTAATCATTTTGCAATATATACAAATATCAAATTCATTACATTATATGCCTAAGACTAATATAATGCTGTATGTCTATTATACCTTAGTTAAAAAAACAAAAAAACAAAAAACAGTTAAGTCTATTTCTCTACCACTGAATCTGGGCCGGTCTTGTGTTGGAGGCGAGGCTGTCTGAGTTCCAGAGCCTAGCCTTGGGAGGCCTTGCACCCTCTACCTTGGCCCTCTTGGCAGCCTTTCATGAGCTTTCCTGAGGCTGCCATGCTATGAAGAAGCTGCACTGGAGGATGAGAGGTGGCCCAGACAAGAGCCAACACCAACTTTCAGACATGAGAACAAAACCATCCTGGCACTTCAAGCCCAGCCAACTCTCCAGCTAGCTGAGCACCGCATGAACGAGCCTGGGCCAAACCAGCAGAGATCCGCCCAGCCAACGCACAAAATTATGAGAAAATAAATCATTGTTTTAAGCAACTAAACTGTAGAGTGGTTTATTATGAGCAATAAATAACTGGTACCACTGGGTATTAAATGAAATGAAAGTTTATTAACCAGGAAAGGCAGACATCATTAACTGAAAGAAAAAAACACTGGTTACAAACTGTATGTACAAGACAACCTCATTTGATAAAACGTACATGCAGGCAGACACACGGGCAAAAAGATCCAGAAAGATACATACTAAGTAATAACCAGTTGCTACATAATGAGGTAAACTCTGGGTAGTGAAAATGTTATTTTTGCTTTCCCATATTTTCTATATGCATATATGTGCTTTTGTAGTAATAAATAGTTTTAAAAAAATATGGTTTTTAAAAAGATCTATAATGTTTACTTATTCTTCAGACAAAAAGGTCAGCTGGGTCCCTGAAGAGCTCCACATGAAAATTCTTGCTATTAACCTCTAATAGTACACAAAACTGGATAAAGTCGGTTAATCAATAAACTTCAGGGATAGTTACGGGCTGAATTGTGCCCCCACCCCACCCCCAAATTAATACACTGAAGCCCTAACCTCTAGTACCTCAGAATGTGACTGTATATGAAGACTGGATCTTTAAAGGTAATTAAGTTACTTTTATAAAATGAGGTCATCAGGGTGGGCCCTGACCCAGTCTGACTGGTATCCTTCTTAGAGGACGACTGAACACAAAAAGCCCCACCAGGGGTGTGGTGCACAGACGGGGGGCCGTGTGAAGAGGCAGCAAGAGGGAGGCCACGTGCCAGGCAGGGAGAGAGGCCTGGCGCAGGTACTTCCTTACGGCCCTCAGAGGAGACCAACACTGCCGGCCCCTCGATCGGGGCCTTCCAGCCACCAGAACCGTGAGGAAATAAATGTTGTTTCAGCCCCCAGTGTGTGGTATTTTGTTATGGCAAAATAAGGGCTATGGGTACAGCAGAGTATTTGGAAAACTGACCTACTGCGTATTCTAAGCACTGCAAATAGAACCATAAAGACGGTTTATAATGAAGTCTTGCTCTAAGATTCTGAAAAGTTTTGTCTTTAAAGTCGAATAACAACTATAAACACGCACAAAGAGAAATTATGTGAAATATATCCATGCAGAGAGAAAGTAGAGGGCATGCTTTTCAAATGTACTGCCTCACTCATGAGGGAGCCGAGGTGCTATTCTAGTCTACATTCTACTCTTGAGCTGGTGTGAGAAACAAATTTTCCTGTTTTGTTCTGCATTTGTTTATTTATGGGCCACCAACAAAGAGCAAAATTAATGGAGAACCAACAGCGAAAAAGCAACCCTACTAAACACTATTGTTTTTTAATCAAATACAAAATATTCCATTCCTCTACTTTTAAATTAAAAACATGGTTTACAAAAACTACACTATTTACAATAAGCAGTAAAAAGAAACAAAAAAAGATTGAGTACAGTTATGATAAGAGAACTGGAAGAAGAGGGAAGAGGGCAGAGAGGAGCTGCGTTGGAAGGGGTGGTCTAGGAGGATGCGTTCTTGTTACTTCTGGCTTATATCAGTTGTATGATCTTAGGCACATGATTTAACTTTTATGAGCTGGTTCACTGTAAAGGGAGAAGCTTAAACAAGGTAATTATTCCTCAACCCGTCTTTATGGACTTCCTAAAGCTTCCCTGGAAATTCTTGTAGGGCAGGGATAGAAATAAACTGGTAGGGCTTGGTGCCCTTGAGCTTAGATTCAGGTAGTGGTACTCATTTCTCTTTGTTTTCCATTTGAACGTTTATGTTTTCACTTGGGGTAAGAGTTCTGCTGCTGGAAGAGTTGAAACCATTGTACTAAAATGCTTTGTCCCCTGACAACTAGGTAAAAATACTCCAGGAATACATATTTAAGAATGAGTAAATAACAAAGCTGAGCAGATACACATAGGAGGCAGAAAGAAGAGCCAAATGATACTAACTTGTAGGACATCAGGCAGACAATGACATTAATGGGGACTGTGACAGGGCAGGGGAGGGTGTGGCCTCTCTATGTAAGAGATTTAGGATTGTTAGTTGATGCTAAGCATTGCAAACTGAGCCTGAAGTGTAACTTCATGACTCAAAAAGTGAATGCAATTTTAGGCATCATTAACACACGTATAATTTCCAAAATGCACTCAACAAATTACCCAATATATTTAAGAACCTGTTTGTACTACCAGTAATCAAAGAATATAGGCAGCACTGTTTGGCAGGTTTGAAGTGAGTCAGACCTAAGTTCCAACCTTCATTCTCAAGTTTACACAAACCATGTAACTTCAGGAAATACAGCTTCTAGAACCTTCAACATCACTAATGGGGGACTCTACCAGCACTGTTGTAAGGGTTAGTGATCACCATGGATAATACTTAGCATAGTGCTGGCATACCATAGGCACTCAAGAAATAGCTAATGCTTACAGAGCACTATGTGAAATTCTAGCTCATCTAATCCTCAGAACGGTTAGATAACTAGAAGATCGTAATACGTAAATGCAAATTATCACAAGAATGGGACTAAAATTGTAACAAATGAAATAGTCAATGATGACAGAGTGCAATATTAGCAGTACCACCATTTACTATTAGTAGGAACAGAAAATGGTGCAACTCTTCTGCAAAGCAATCGGACAACACGTAACAGAGGATATTTTCAAAGTTCATATATGATGGTCCAACTCTATTTGGGAAAGGAAAGGATTCAGAAAGTGCCTATGGGTAGAAATGGGAGTGATCTGTTGACTGACTGGCATCTCCTTTATGTGTACGTTTATCACCAGAAAAGCAAAGCATCTCCAAGAATAGAAGACGTTCTTTTTTATTTTTCCCAGTTACTGATTTCCATAAATATCCCTTTGTCCACCCAAACCTGGACATTCCTGAGAACTCCTAAAGCAGAAACTGTGGCCCACTTCCCCATTCAGCTCCTCACATTTAAGTGGAAGTACACTGCCCAGGGAAGCAGACACTCCTAATGACCCAAGTATTTCTTAAGATTAATAAAGGAATGTGGAATAGAAGAATATAAATTCCTTCAGGTTGGGAGGTCCCAAACCCAGAGCAATTCAGGATGTTCCAGGAATTGCCACCACAAAGAGAAGAATGAAGGTCAAAACACTTCATTTCTTCTAAGTCTGCAGTATGCTGCCCTTTGAGTTCACTGCAACTCAAGACCCAAGAGAAAGCGTTCTCGTGAGAAGTCTACCAACGATGGACACTTACCTAAAATGAGATGAAGTTTGGTTTCTGTCTGGAAAGCGTAGTGCAAGGTCACCAAGAACGGTGACTGCCTGATGTGCTCCAGGACTTGCCGCTCCGTCCTTGTGTGCTCTGTGGTTTTGGCCTTTTGCACTATTGTGGCCTTTTTCAAGACTTTCATGGCGTACAGCTTGCCAGCGTCATGACCGCTGATTTTACGAACCAGAAATACTTTTCCATAAGCTGAAAATGAGAAGAAAAAATAAAAACAATTAAAATACCACACACAACGGTAATTCATTGGAAGTTGCAAGTTACAATGCACAACAAACAAACATTCTTTGTTTGTTGTTCATTGCTGTTTCAAATAGTTCTCTCAGAGGGGCGCCTGGGGTGGCTCAGTCAGTTAAGCATCTGCGTTCAGCTCAGGTCATGATCCCAGGGTCCTGGGATGGGGCTCCGTGTCGGGCTCCCTGCTCAGCAGGGAATTTGCTTCTCCCTCTCCCTTGCACCCTCCCCTGCTCGTGCACTCTCTCTCTCTCTCTCAAATAAATAAAGTCTTTAAAAATTAGTTCTTTCATAGATTTCTTCAATTGTATGCCAAATATATTTCTAGGTCTAAACCTTGGTATTTACATATCCAACCACTGCTGACAAAGTTATATTTTACTGGTATTTTCTCAATATTTTTAGCTGTAGGAAACTAGCTGTTATTATGGTCAATTAACCACAATCCAATTCTGGAACATCTGGGACATTTCAGACATCAGATAAGATCTCCAGGTGTTGCTGCTGATGTAAACAAATGAAAATAATTCTTAATAAGAATCTCACACATTTAAATCAAGCACCTCAAGTATCCCTCTATACTTACTGAAAAATCTAAAGGAACAGAAGCTGACAGTTACAAACAAAAGAGGTCTTCAGATTTTAAAAAACATTAAAATGCCCTAAAATGTCAGCAATCTTGACAGAAGCCCCTTTACATCTCCAGGCAGTAAGTCGTGGCTCAGTGGGTCAGCCTCACCAAGTTTTCCCTAAGGGCTCAGCTGGGCCCATCCTGTGTGTGGCGCCACTCCCCCAAGTGGGGGCACCGGAAGGAGCACGGTGTACCCTGGGCAGAGCAGGTAGAGCAGGTATCTGTATCTATTTCCCCAGAGAAAGGGGGAGAGGGCTGGAAGGGGTACAAAGAGGGGTGGAAGAAAGGCAGAAACACTACTGTGACAGGGAAGGGGTAGGTCCCCAATTCATCTCTACAGCATGTAAATTCTCTTCCCTCTTAAATACCTCCTGGGATGGGCAACCCAGTCCCACTTTTGAAGTTCAAGACTTTAGTCAGACCATTCTGGAGCCAGTCTGAGTTCTGATCCAGACCAGTGCTTCCCTGCCCTCTGCCCTCACCTTCCCAGTACTGAGCACATAATTCTGTTCAGATCCACTCACTAGTGTGAGAGAGCTTTAAGCTTTAAGCTTGCACCCTCTGTGTTATTCAGGTCAGTCCTTCGGGAAGTAAATTAGTACCCAAACAGATGATATACACGGACAAACGGATCAGTGAAAGGCTGTGATACTCCTGAGGAGGAGGAAAGCCAACACTTCCTAAGGAACTTGTCTATGCCAGCTCCGTGCTAAACATATTCCACATATTGCTTCACTTAATCCTCAGAACAGCCAATGAAGGTGGTACTTTCAGTAATTCCATTTCACAGATGAGGAAATGGGTTCAAGGAACGTAAGGAACCAGCCAAAAGACTTGGGTAAGAAGTGGCAGAACTGATTCAAGCTACAGGGAACCACATTTTCTACCAAAAATGAATTTTAAAAAACGATTCTTCACAAATACTAGAAATTGGATGCTCTGGGTTTTAGTAAAATCACTACCATAGATATACTGAACACATTCTGGAATACAGAGAAAGTTCACAAAAGGTTTGTGTCTTATCTCATTACAAATAAAATAAGTATAGACTGAGATTTTAGTGAGGTAAAAGTGAACCAAAAAAAGAAAATGATAACTTTCAGAACCTAACAAATTAACCTGAAGTATAAAAATGAAAAAAGCTAATCTATTCAGAAGCACTGAAAGGAAGCTGGAAAATATTCTAATGAAATGTGCTATATCGTCCACAGAGTCAGCCATGATATACACTTGGGAGAAAATGAAGTCCCCTACAAGTATGGGGCTTTTGTGTTCCCTACACACGCATGGCACCTGCCCTGAATTCCTGTTCTCTGAGATTCCCATCTCCAGAATGTTCCTTAGAAATTATGTTACCCATATAACCTCTCCAACAAAGAAAATCTTCCATCATCGCTGGAAGATGGCTGTTTGGATTATTTGTAGCTAGTCTTTCAGCCTAAGTGTTGACCAATGCAGGGTGTTAGCACAGGACATCTGAGTACTTGTCAGGCGCTTTAGAGGTACATTAGCTCATTCCATTCTTATAGAATCCCTGTAAGTAGATGAGGAGGACTACCTCCATTTCACAGATGGAGAAACTGAAGCATAGAACATACCTGCCCACTTAGCCCTGTGCCCACACTCTGAGCTATGCTCCATCTGCCTCCCTTCAGTGATTGACTTCACAGGCAAATAAAGAAGGAGTCAGACATTAAGCAGAAGTGATAATAGAGGTTAGGTGTTTTATTGGTGAAATGGACACAGTGCTATTAATTTCTAAGAGGAGAAAGTCTTGCAAAGTGGCCCATTTTACTGATGGAGAGGGGAGATGGAAATATTAGAAAATGTTCCCTACATTGAATGGAAACAGGCCTTTTTTTATAATATTTATCTGTTGGTCCTCCTACACCCTCTGGACTTACAAAAAAGAATATTACCTTTCTTCTACAATTTTTTTTACTATTTAAAAACACTATCATGCCATCTCACCTACGCAAAATGTCCTTATTCCTTAAACCGATCTTAAAGTAAATGATTTTGAGACTTCTCACCACTAGGAGGTTCCACTGATGTGCTCTGTGAGTTATAAACATTTTTTCTTTGATTTCTTTCCTGTTACTTTAAAAATATGTTGTATTACGCTCTCCACGTAAATATGAGATAGCACAGGATGATAATGGATGTGTCAAGTAATATAAAATCATCCTATTGCTACATTATAAACTATCTGTCAAATAATAAACAGTCATCTTCTTTGCCATGTGATGATATCCAGAAGCCTGCCAATAACATAAGCTAAAGTCTACATATATATCCTGCCAATACAATTACTTTCTCATCTATCAAAAAATGTCAGGGGAAAAAGTGTGATAAAGCTTACAAATCTTGTTTTTACTTTTATAATTGCCATGATTAACTAAAGCTATATTAAGTACTTTTATCACACAGTAAGTGCCAAAGATGCTTTTGTCAACAAAATTTGAAAAGTGCCTTATAACATTCCAAATAACAAATATTTCAGACAAACAGGATCTTACGAGTAGGCTGCCTAACTAAAACACAGTTGCCTCCAAACGGTCTTGTTTTTGAAGCACGCATAAGGCTGCTTATCACACGGCAACAGGGAAGAAAACACAGTCATCATTGGAGAGACTTTACACAAGCCACCGTCCCGGGGTAAGCTGGTTTGCAGCTTAGTACAGAGGGAGAAAGTCAAGTAGTTCTTCTGCTGAACAGCACCCCCAACTCCAGAACCATCCACATGTTTTCCAGTACTTTAAGAGGGGCCACTAAAACTGGAACTGATGGCAGGATTAGATCCTTCCCATTTGTAACGCTGCCTGCCTTCCAGTGCAGCCAACCAACTCCTGGCTTTTCGTTCGTTACGTGTATGCTGACATCATTGAAGAATTCCAATTTTGAAAGCATCTTTTGCAAACCGGAAAGGTTACCAACAGTGAAAACTCTTTTGGCCGTAAAAAATAAATAGTACTTCCTGCTCAGATAGAGCCCCTAAAATGGATGTTTGGCAACACATCTGGCTTTTCTACTTAAGAGACTGAGCTTCCTGCTTTAGTGTGACTCTAATGTCCACATCAACACGCAATGGCTTCAAAATGCTTTGTCAGCAATCCTCACAGAAGTCTTGTGTACTGCTGTGAATCTTACTGATTTCAGCAGCACGAGGGCCTTTTCAAGATACCCTGCCAAGTAATACGAGCAAAAGAGGGCATGGAGTTCACTGGTTTTCCAGAGGACCAGTCTTACAGCGCTTGATGGAGGGTAGAAGTTCTCCTTACTTTGAGACTGAGGGAAAGTCAATTCTAAGAATCCATGACAAGAAGGATTCATTCCTGACTTAGCTTGACAGACACCTGTGATCACATGAATGGAATAAATCCTTCAATTCTAGGCCCTACAGACATCATTTTGGGTTCTGCTGAAGACCTGTGTGGTTGTCTAGCCAAGCAGCCATTCTTGGAGTGGATGCGTAAGTAAACGTCTCCAAAGCTGGAAAAAGAGTTCTACGGCTCAGAGGAAAACTACAGTTATCTTATGAAGGTTACTTTTGTTCAAATTGAAATGTGGCTTTAGAATTCTATCCTAGCTGACACAGACAGCACAATGTTGGCAAACCTCGTTGACAATGATCTCAACAGCTTGAGGATAAAGCAAATAATGTAAAAGGAACTAAAACCAAGAACCATGGGGAAACGTCTAGCTCCGTGGAGTAGGTCTTGGTTTGCTTTTCCAATGTAGGAATCTTATTCCACTTGCCACAATTACCATTATTAATCAGGTTTTTAGCACTTGTTGTCATAATAAGGAAAAGTTAAAACCGACTGACAGTTTTAAAACAAGACGACATTCATGCTGCCATATCAAAGCCACTGCACAATTTCAACTACTTTTTCAAGCTAAACAAAGCAGCCTTCTTGCTGAAATGTATTTTGACCATAATTAAACTGATCTTTTCACTTTATTTGTAAAATGTGAATTCATTAAAAAGTTTTAGGAAGTAGCATTTACTCCTTGCATTAAAATGATAATGAGCTCACAATTTGGTAAAAAAAATATTTTTATAGTCTAAAACAGCAATCACTTTACAATGCCCTAAGATCAAATTCATGTAAAATTACGTGTTTACATGCATTATTCTGGAGGAAGAGGTTAAGGACCATTGTTCTAGCAGGTCCCTGGTTTATTTAGTTTGCATTACAGTGCTCATCTGGGACATGCTGTTCTCACTGGGATCCAAATGGCTCAATCACTGGGAGATCATTGTTTCCTGTCACTCAAACTTTTCCTAATGCTATCTAAAACTGTGTACATTGTACACACT